TGGGAGAACTTCACCACTGCAAGACTCAAAGCTCATCAAGGGGTAAAAGGAATTAACATTAATGCTGCTTTCATGGGAAACACCAACATGTGGGAGATTCCTGCAGCTTCAGTCAGTCCCTGCTTTCAGCTGAGCAGGTTGCAGTGAGATGACCAGACTTCTGGCACTGATAAAACACACCTTTCTCTTCTAATAAAAGCCAATGGGAAAATTGTTTTGGGAAGCATCAGTTGCATTGTTGTTAAAATTCCACCCCATCTACACCCCTGAGTTCTGATACAAGCTGTGCTGGAAGAATCATAGAGTCATAGAATGTTTTGGGTTGGAAGGGACATTAAAGATCATCTAGTTCCAACCTCCCTGCCAGGGACAGGGACACTGTCCACTAGACCAGGTTGCTCAAAGCCCCATCCAACCTGGCCTTGAACACTTCCAAGGACAGGGCATCCACAGCTTCTCTGGACAACCTGTTCCAGTGCCCTAAGGTAAAGAATTTCTCCCTAATATCTAACCTAAACCTACTCTCTCTGTTTAAAGCCATTCCCCCTACAACCTATCACTATGTGCCCTTGTAAAAAGATCCTCTGTGGCTTTCTTGTAGGTCCCCTGGAAGGTGAAGGTGGGGGAAACCAGGTGAGGAGCAGTTGGCTTTGCATCTCAGAGTGACTGCAGCAGCCACTTGCCACAAGATCCTTGAACTCAGTTCTGAGGCACTGGTGTTTTCACCAGGATTTGCTAGGTTATCCATTACTTGTGATTCCTCTACCTGGTTTTGCCTTCTTTTCTGCTTTCCTTCTTCCTTGTTGAGTTGTTCTGGTGGGAAGGTTCAGGCTAAGCCTGGTCCACCAGCCTGCTGCTAGCTTGGAGTAAGTGCATCAATATTCAGCACCCCAGATGGTGATTAACCTGTTCTCACCACTGTGTCCGGAGACCCAAAAGGCAATTAGGCTGGTGCCGCTGGGTGGAAGGTAATTTCATAATGCTTCTCCCACACAGCCAGATCTTTTCAGGAACATGTGTTCCCGTTGATGGCAGGGCTGAACAACTCCGTGGAACACCACGTGAACAACCGTATGGTGCAGCTGCGTGGCTGCCACTGTGTCAGTGGGTGGATTAGCATAGGCTGAGCAGGTGACAATCCAAACTATCCCTGGGGAAAAACTGTGGGAGGCCACCTCCTGAAAGGGTTGGCTTTTCTCTCCAGGTCACTTCCAATTAAGAGCATAGTTGTGAGTCTAGCACCAGAGGGATGGGCCTTCCTGGTGGCTTGGAGGGATGGAGGAGCATCGTGGGCCTGTGATGCCTGGAGGGCTGGCTTGGGTGCCCCATGGCTGGTTGGAGACAGGATGGTGTCCATGTGGTGCCTACAACACTAAGGACCATGTGCTTTTTAGTGCAAAGTTCTCTAAACCACTCACCAGCTCTGGTGAGAAAACACACATCTGATGCTTCAGGGCTGCTAATAATGACAACAGAGGGATCAGGACTTCTTGAAGATGTTTTATCCAGAGGCTATGGAGAATAGGAAGAGATAGATGTGTTACAACACACCCCAGCTTCACCATGTTATTGAACTTCAGCACAATCAGTGTGTTTGTTCCTCTTTGAAACCTCCTGCTGGATTAAGATTCAGAGCTCCCTCCGGGTTGTCTTGATTATCATTCCAGCAGGCCCTGGTGCTAGCTGTGTTCTGGGGTAGCTGACAACTTCCAGAGAGGTCCAGATCAGGTTCCACCCATGTTAGGCCTGCTGCCTGCTCTGGCTGCACCCCAGTCATAGTGAGCTTGTCTGTACAAACCAACACTCTGTAAATGTTTAGGGGAGGAGAAAATTACTTGGGTCCAAAGGGGCTTTCCACACCTCAGCATGTGCCTGAGTAAATAGCTCCTTCCTTTGTCCATGTTGTCAACCTGCTAGATGGCAGAAGAGTTATCAGTTACGGTTTTCCCCAGAACAGCAGGGCAGTCTCTGGCTTAACCATGACTTTGAAGAGCCCAAGGACGGAAAGCTCAGCACTGGGCTGCCAAGCTGAGGGAAGCTTCAGTCAAGACTCCCCCTGCACCATGGGGCAGCCACAAAAGATGCTCTGCCCAGTCCCATCTTGCTATTCAGGCAATTTCACACTGGTCTGTGCTGCCACTCTTCTCTGTTTAGTTGATCACAATTATTACGATCCCACACACTTTCCATCTCCTGGACACACAGTCTCCCAGAGCTAGAGGAGACTCTGTTCAACTCTCTTCTCTCTCTCTGTTTTCCTTTGCTCAGCACAAAGTCCAAATGCCGCTGGACTTTAATGCACCAATATCTAACCCCTTTATCTCCCCTATCACACTGACTGGTGACATGCTGCCAGGCTCCTGAAGCAAAGAAGTGCACACTGCCTGTGGCATGGTGACAACTCTTGATTTTTCCTCTTGCTTTGCACCAGGACCTTGGCCACTTGGAACTGCCTGGTGTGTCCAGCCTGGCAGCCTGACTCGCCTCTGTCTGAGCACTGCAGATTCCCCAGGGTTAAATCACTTTACACCAGTCAGTGAAAAAACAAGTGAATGTGTTTAATGTCGTTTAAACCTTCAAGACCCCATTTTTTCTTTTGTGCTCCTTTGCTTTGAGTTCCTTTCAAGGTTCACAAATGCTCTGGAAATGGAGGGATCCAGGGCCAGCAACACCATGGAAATAAGTGCCCCTAGAGCAAAGTGAGGATATGAATATATAAATATTTAAACAGAGGACACAGTGTCTCCTGTCCCTCACCCATGCCTGGCAATCATTACTGAGACTCAGCCACTCATGACCTGCAGAAACGGAGCAGAAGGTGGTGAAATGAAGCCCCTCCCACACAGCAGCTCTGGGGCTGCTTTTGAACCCCAACACCCAGGGACTGTGGGGCTTCACTCCACTGGGGCAGGACCACATGCTGAAATCCTTCTGCCCACCATTGTCCCAGGCCAGCTCAGTGCAGCAGCTCACCCCATTTGAATGGCTGGTTCAAACCTCCATCTATAGGGTAATAATTAACCTTGAATGGAGGTTGCTCAACATTTTTTTCCAAACTCTTTCCTCCTTTTAAATGCTCAGGCATAGTGAAAGCGAAACAGTGCCATAGTCTCTCCTGGCAAGCAAAGAGGTGAAGGTGCTGGAGGTGTTGGGCAGGTGCGGACAGGCCTTTTTGTCCACTTTCAGATGGAAAAGGAGGATGGAGAGTGGCACCATTCTCTGAGGGAGCCCCTCAACCAGCGTGTGCATGAGGAATGGTGTCTCAGCCAGCTGATGTGGGTGAGCTGACCTCACTCTGTCCTGCAGATCTGTCCACCTGCCACTGCCTCTCCCCTGGATTTCCTGTGGCACGGAGCCGCTCTCAGTTTCTTTCCTGTGGATCATTCCTGTACCATCCCAGCTCGCCGCAGAGGGGATCAGTTTGGTCAGTACTGGGGTATATATTCCATCCCTTTTCTTGCCTGTGGGATCACATTTTCTGTTTCTTCTTTCCTGGCTCCCTTTACTGCTCAGCTCACCCCTCTGATCACTGCTGCTGCTCTGCTCTGTCCACAAAGCCCCCACGCAGAGTTTGAGCTAGGGTATCAGCCTCCTTCCTACTGAAATCCCTGGACATTGGGGTGCTCTCCTCCCCTTCCCACCCTCTGTATGGGCTGTGATGGGGTGAGATCCTGAGTGAGGAAGTGAATGGCTAGATATTCCTGTGAGAGCAAGTGATGCAGGGTCTGATCCCCTCTGTGAGAGCAGCTCAGCAAACCCATGGGAAGGTGCAGCCCCTGCAGTCCACAGCTTGTGAAATAACCGTGCACAAGGCACTGAAACTCTGACCGAGGAAGGATGAGATCTATTTCCAGAGTCCCAACCTATCCATTCACTGCAGTTGTATTTCAGTCTCTGAGCTGGACAGACCTGAGACAGGCAGTTCCTGGGTCACTTCAAGCAATAGCTGTTTCTAATGATTTAAACTGTTCACTGAGCTGCCCTGGGCCTGTGCCAGGGAAACATGGCATTTTCCATCCTCATCTCTGCAATGTACAACGTCTCCATGAGTGGGCTGTGTTAACTGGTGACCTGATGAGATCCCTTCGCAAGGGAAGGAAGGCAAAACCTCTCTCTCTTCCCCCTTCAGAAACATCTGGACCAGCCTTTAGGGTGGGCAGAGGGGAGTTTGTCTGCAGCAGGGCAGGAGCTGAGCAAGTGCAGAGGATGTGATTGCAGCCCAGTAGCACTGACAGGATCTGAAATCCCCTGCAGCATCCCCAGCAGCTCATGCAGAGGTTTGTTTGACCTTGGAGATGTCCATTCTTGGCATGCTGGGATGCAGCGCCCTGAGGTAGGATGAGTGATGTGAACTCTTTCTGCATTGCACAGCCTCCTGCACTGTAACCATGATGATTCAGAGTGCAGAGAGAGCTGTGGTTTTAATAGAAGGGGCTAGAGCAGAGCTTGGGCACTTGCTGGGGAACACTCACCCCTGGGCCACCTCCAGCAGTAGCAGGGCAGAAGTAGCAACAAAGCCCAATGAGGTTGCCAAATTCACATCAGAAAGTGCCAACACCCCAGTGAGACTAAGGGAGGATCATCATTTTCCTGCATGGCTAGAAATCCACCTAGAGGGACAGAAAGTAAAACCATACCTTGTTACCAAGTGAAATGGTATTTTTGCACAGATTTCAGCATCTCTGATGGTTAATGATTCCTTTGTGGAGGAGGAGCTGGAGAAATAGCTGCCACTTTCCTGATTTAGAGAGTTAAGTGGAGCTTTCCAGAGCACCAGGTGCAGGCCAGCACCTGGTGTCTGTATGTAGAGAGATTGTTTCAGCAGCTGCAGGCTACAGCAACTTTCCCTGTCTTTGTATTATGCACAGGAAAGGAATGGGTCAGATTTTCAGACCAGGACTGACTTTGGAGACAGAGTAATATCTGTTAAGAACATCTCTAATTCTGCTGTTTTATGCATTTCAGTGATTGTCATCAGCCTGTTTGGTAAACCTCTTGTTGAAAGACAAGAAAAATAGAAATATGGAGTTAGACCCAAGGAGCGTGACCTCAGAACCAGCCTCTCCGACGAGCAGTGCCAGGGAGGAAAAGATGGAGGTTATTTCTGAACTGAGCAGCCCAACTTCACACAGCAGGGACAGTGGGTTCTTTGAAAGAAGTATTAGAAGGTTAAGCATCCGGAAACCAAAACAAAGTCCAGAACAAAGAGAGTGGGAAGGAAGATACTGGCACTTGGAAAGGAAAAAGACTTTTGCGATCATTCAGGAGCTGTGAGGAGAACAAACCCACGATCTGTAATGGTGTGGAGGAGACTGGTGAAAATGAAGGAGAAGAGCCCATTCAAGGAAAACCTCTTTCAGGTAAGAAGCAAAACCACCAGTGTTATTTGCTTGGCAGGATAAATGTAACCTTGAAGGTTACATTAATTTACAGTGTGCAAGTGTTGGGCCAAACAGAGGTGCTAAAGAACAAGGTATCCCATTACAAGGGAGAGACAACTGCACCCCTTGCATGGACTCAGTTGTTACCTGGCCCGGGGTGGGCATGTCACCTGCTGTCACTGAACATGCTGCTCTGTAGCCACCACTGCACTATTTCAATCGTATCAGCAACCTACCCATCAACCTGTCAGTGGACATATCGCCCTTCATACATATCAGTCACCAATCTGCTGACCACAGTTTGGGAACTGCTGGTCTGACAATACCTAGAAGTGCAGTGTGGACTATTCCCCCACTATTGCCTGCATTGCCCTTCTGGACAATTTCTGCTCTTCAGCTCTCAGATTGATGGTCCCCTGGCTGTGCTCTATAGGTTGGTGCAAGGCCTTGATGGACAATAAAGATAGTTTGGCTGTGATCTGGCTTGGCAGCTCTGCTTTGGTTCCTAATCTTAGAGACTGCCTTGCAAAGACACTTCCACAGATACTTTGCTCTCTTACACCGACCTTCCGCCTGTCCTTCTCACAAGAGCAGCGCTGCAAGTATTTGTTGTTTGTCTTCCTCTGGCTGGTTACTCTCATGTGTTTTGTCAGCATTATGCAGATAGGTCTTGGTCTAATTACAATAACTAGCTTTAGCATAACTCTCACCTTTCCCCAGGCGTGGGCAGACTGGAATGACTTTGATCGTGGTTTGAGCACCACTTTACTCCATCTTCTCAAGGCAGAGGTACTAAAATGCATCCACCCGAAGACAGACTGGGGTCGGTTGATGTGGTTTGACCTTTCCTTAGGCTAAATCTCTAGACAGAAATTCTTGGTCTTCTGGATAGGGTGCCACAGGGATCAGATAGATGGACTGGCATTGTCTCACTGCTGTAATGTGCTCTACCTCATCATAAAGTTATTTACTGCTTCACACTGATACATTGTGAATTTGGTAAGCTGGTTTTAACCCCTCTCATGAACTTTGCTAGTCTGATCTCAAAGGATCATAGATGAGGAGCAATAGGAAATGTTGTCATAAGGTTTTTCATCTCCTGCAATAAACCAGCTGAAGAATTGCACAAATAATGCCCATTCTCTGCTCCATGTTTGGCCTGGACTAGAACAGCTCTGTCAGAAACACATCCCATCCTGAGATAAGTATGGCAAGTGATGGAGACTCCACCATGTGCACCATTAAGCTGCATAATAGTTAATTGCCTTTCAATTGTCTTCCTTCAACCACCAGCTGGCTGATCTTGTATTGCTAAATTAAAGATCCATTTAGCACCCAACATCACCTCCCTGAATAATTATCCTAGATGGTGATTAAATGGTGTTTTCTCACTTTGATAAACAAACCAGAATGTGTTACTCTAGTCTCTCGCTGCAATCATTTGTGTAAACATGGGTTTTATATTAACTTGTCCAGAAGAGACTAAGTTAATTGGTACAATCTCCTTCCCTTCTGGGTGCAGAAGCAACTGTAGCATCATATAGGCACTCAAAGATCTATGTGTTCTACGATGTATCAATAGCTGGGATATTGGGCATATTTCTGTATTTATACAGATATTCTTATGCTACACAGATAATTTAGTACATATGGTATAAAACCTGTGTGCAGACAAGCCCAAGGACAAAAATTACGGGCTATGAACCAGTCTTTCATATCTTCTTTGAGTAGTCTCCAGTTTTTCCTTATCATTTAATATGTGTATGTCCCAGGAGTAGTGGTCACACATGCCTAAGTAAGACCCTTTCCCTTCTTGCCCAGTATCACAGTGGCATCTCCTGTTCAGAGCATCTGTTATAGTGCTGGAGATGGTGAGAGCTTCCCAAGGTCTCTCAAAAGCTAACAGTGCTCCTGGATCTCCTCAACACGTGGCAAATACTTCTTGTCTTATTGGCAAATAGGCAGTGGTTCTTGCATGAGCAAGGCTTTGTAAAATAAATGTGAAACTCAGTAGACCTCAGCCACTTTGGGGGTAGCAGTATTTGGTGACTTTCTCCCCAGCCAACACTGGCCAGTACTGGTAGTGAGTGCCAAAAGCAAAGGAAGTGGGGAAAACCCACATGAGACCTGAGCACCAGGAGCATCCCAAACCTACAGGTTTGGATGTCCCTCCAATGCACACACCTCCCCAGAGCAGTCAGGAATGGCAGTGCTGGCCTGCTTGAGAAAGAAACGTCACTGGTGCAAGGCAACGCTTGGCATCTGACTGTAGGTTTATATACAGGAGGGGAACAGCCAAGTCATCCAACCCTGAACCACCCCAGCAGGGTGAATTTCACATAGCTGGCATAGTTGGTGTTTCAGTCTTTATTTTGGGACCCCAGGACCACCATCTCAAAGAATCTCTTCACTTCCCGGCCAAAAGGTTATTGCAGGTTGCAGTAACTGCAGAGCTAAGAAGTGGTGTCTTCTGGTCCTCCAGAAGTCCCTCTTTTTGACAGAGGGAAGGCTGAGGACCACAAGCATTCACGGAACATCTAAATGTCTGGAACAGGTAAGAGACATCTTACCTGTGTCAAGAAGCCAGTTGCTGTGATTGGCACAGGCTGCAAAGGGTGGCCAGTCCCACATGGGTCAGTCTCTGTCTTGGTGTCTCAGTCCCTACATCTCAAGAAGAGAGATCTCATTATGGAATCACCAGAAACTATCTCCACATTTTGTTCAGCCTCAAAAATGCAGGAGCTAGTTTAGCTGTGACATGAGTTGAGGATGTATTTTAGGAAGCCTTGATAATGCACAAAATCAAAGCAGGAGAGAAGCCTGGGATTTGCCCAAGGTTACATCGAAACAAGGAATGTTCAAAAAAATGTGTCAGGAGCAGAGCTGAGCACACTGGTATGGAGGAAACAAGGACATCCATGCTAAAGGAAATCCTGCTGGATTTCATCTCCACGCAAACAGAGAGGCAGAGACAGAGGTGGCTTATGCTGCCTGAGCCCCAAGTATCCTGCTCTGCAGCCTCAGTAGCCATTGCTTGAGGTTCTCCTGCAGGGCTATCATTGGCTTTTTGGATATTTCCGACCTCTGTAACTGACAGTTTAGAGACGTGGCTCAATTTGCAGTGATTGCATTCCCACTGTTTTCCTCTCCTGTGTCAAACATGAGCTGGAGAGGTTGAGGGGGTCAGTCTCAGGGGTACTGCTGGGACCTGACTACTCAGAGCAGCCCCCTGCAAGCCTCCCTGTTGGACATTTTGTCCTGTTACCTACCTGTCAATAGCCTAACACCTGCTTTGTTCCAACCCTTTCCCCTCCCTTTCTGCAGTAATGGAAATCAATGAACTTATTCAGAAAAGACAACTCTTGGAAGCATTTGCAAGTATCAAGTTATTGGAAGATGAGACTATTTCTGAACGAGATGCTGAGAAATACAATGATAACCCTCAGGAGCTTGTAAGGAAATCCAAGGATGTGGATTTGCTTTATAACTCCATCACAAACACTATCCAGTCCATAGTGGAGGGCACACTGGAAGCTTCCACTGTAGAGGATACCATGCTGACCTCCATGGTGACTTTAATTGCCCGTGAAGAAGCAGCTCATCCCAACACAGACAAAGCTGTAAGTCCTGGGTCAGACTTGCTTGGCAGGCCCAGAAAGTGGAGGGAGATGTGGAGAGAAGCAATCAACGAGAGTGCTAAAAAAAGAGTCCTGAAGGCACCCATGGCATCAAAAGAAGAAGATAGTTCTTGGCTTGATCTCCACTTAAGTTTCCTCCAGAAACTCCTGAGGGAAGATTTACTGAAAATCAAGTTATCAGTAAAAAAGTGCTATCCTGAGGAGTACCAGGTGTGTGACACATATGTGGAGGCTTTTCATAAGGCCATTGCCTCACATTTGCAACATCTCTGCCAGGGACTACTGGATTTCAGTGAGCTCTACACCTTGCTCAACTGGGTGGCCAACACCTACCACAGGTAAGCTGCTGTGCTTGTCACATTTTCTCTGCCTCCTCAGAAGAGCGGCAGGGCTGTGGGGTACTCCAAAAGCACCAAGCTACTCTTAGTTTTCCAAGTGAGCAAGAGAGACACAGTGACCTCTACAGCGGAGCCAGATAGCAAATGTGTTAATGGGTGGGGACAAGGGTTTGTGGATGGAGCACTTGCTGGTTTTTGAAGATCGACCCCACCCCCTTTCCCCCTCCCTCTCCCACTTGCTGTTCCCACGTGGCAGGAAGCGCCTCCTCGCAGCTTCTGCAGATATTTTGTTGGATTCAGCAGCTGCTCAGTGACTTTTCCAGGCACAGGGAGGGACCTGTGGGGGAGGTCTTTTTCCTGTTTAATTAAAACTGTGATGCATTTGGCAATGGGCCACGTTAACCCCCATGCATGGGGTCAGAGTTCTTTTGAGGAGGTGCCAAGACATCATCAAGTGGAATTTTTATCCACATGAAAACAAAAGCTCTGTCTCAGACATGTCTGCTAGTTAAACGAGAGGTTTTTAGAACCTCTTAAGGCTCCTTGCAATTCAGGGTGACTAAAATATTCTAGGAGCTGTAGGGACATCATAAACGCCATCCTCAGGGCACCCTGGGTGTATGGTGGTACAGGCAGCAATTTTTTGTAAAAGCTATAAAAACTGTGTTGCTTGTACAGCCAGTGAAGACATCTTAGACAGGCACTCGCAGAAGGTCCATGCATTAATGTCAATGTCCTCAGTTATTTCCTGCCCTAGACCACAGCCCATCACCGCAGCCCAGCCCCAAAGAGCTCCCAGACTAAAACCCAACAAAGATACACAGTGAGGTTGGAAGGAGATGAGAAGCAACATTCACAGGAGATGGTCTTGAAATAAGCATGTGAAAGACGTGTCAAAGCAAACTTGTGTCTGTCCCAGTAGCTGGTCTACAGGAATGGCCTGAACCAAATGCCCAAGGAAGGGACAAATGCAAAGCAATTGGCAGCCCTCAAAAAACAATAACAACAACAAAAAACAAACAAACAAAAAACACAAAAAACCACACACACACAAAAAAAAAAACAAAAACAAAAACAAAAACAAAAAAAAAACAAAAAAAAAACAAAACAAAACAAAAACCCAAAACAACAAAGAGGCAGGAGTATCAGCACTAAGTCAAACAGTGGGCAAAAATGATCAGGGAGGGGGCAGTGGTGGAGCAGGGCAAGCAGCAGCACATGGTTTCCCAGAGCACCCCTAGTCTGAGATAGCTTCTGGGTAAGAAACACTTGCACTGCAGGTAGTCTTTGTTTTGAACAGCCCTCAACAGATACCTTCTGTGAACTTGTCCAGTTACTCCTAAAACCCCATTGCAGTGTGGTGACTATGATGATGTGTGTAAACCCCTCAGCATCATCAGGTCCTGCTGATCTCATCTGGAAGGAAATTCCTGCATGTCCCCAGACCCTGGGAACTTTACTGCACCCCAGCATTGCATGAGAGAGGGCAAAGAAACAAACTTCAGCAGCCAGCTTCTGCATGAAAGAAAAGTGCCCCCCCATATTTATCTAACTTAGCTGTGAAAAATCTTATTAAGAGGTTGCAGCTGTTTGGGGCACTGTTTGCAATCACCTTGATGGTTTGGGCTTTTTAAATTTAATTTGGTTTAATTTCATTGCTGCTTGGTACCCATTCCAAAAAGAGAAGAAATTGTCTGACTGAAACTCACTACTGATGTTACAATTCAAATTAATGAAAAAAAAAAAAAAGAGTGGGTAATAAGCTCCTCAAGTATACATTTGAGACAGTCCTTTCAGTTGTGGTGGAGAGTCTGTATTTAGATCTGTGATGCCCTTTTGAATGAGCGGCAGACTCTGGCAGCAGTGGGCTGTGCAATGCTCCATATGTGCAGATGTACCTCTCTGGGAAATCTGAACCATGACCACAGAACCATTGACTGCAGGACACTATCAGCAAGCTGAGCTTATTTTCTGCTGAGCAGTCGCTCTGCACCAGGCTGACCTTGTACAGTACAATCCTCACTTGGATCCAAACCTGGCTGTGGGTGCAGCGCTGGTTTGGCAGTGGGAACCCTTTCTGACTGAGCAAATGAGCAGGCTGTGTGTAGGACATCGCAGCCGTGTTCCCTGATAACAGGGTGACTGCTTGTAACTTATGCCCTACCTTCATCAAGTGCATAAATACTTTATTCTTTCCGATTTTCACCTTCGTCACCCTGCGAGATTCAGTGCCTCCACGATCCGTTGCAGATTGCAAGAGCAGCACATTCAATTGTACAGGCTAATGACATGTTTCTTGCCCTAGAGAGAGAAACACGGGCACTCTATCCCTCTCCCTGCTTCCAGGCTAATCAGCTGGTCTGAGTACGTGTCAGTCCAGAGGAAAGTGAGTGGTAATGGTGAAGTCCTGTGTCAGCTGAGCACACTTTGGAGTCAGACTCCGTAGCTGCTCATCCACCCACCGCTTCCATCCACGGGGGAGTATGGCCCGTATCCCAGGCACGGGAGTGCCTTCCAGGGGCTGCCCTGCACAGAGCAGGTCCTGCTCTGCCACCTTGCCTTTCTGGGGATAATGCAGAGAGAAAAATAATAATAAATAATGGCCCATCTTCGCGAGCGAAGATCCGGGGAAGGTTTTTACACCTTCCAGCCTGCGCATTGGATTTTTTTTTTAGGTGAGACACAGTGTGCGCGGAACTGAGCCTACCCTTTAATCCTAAGGTTCATCTGCCGGGGCCAAGCGAGCTTGGACGGTGGCAGCGAGGTCCTTAGGACGTAGGTGGGTTGCCTTTAAGGGCTAACGAGCCCCACCTGCCCGGGAGTGGCCCTGACCGGGAATCGAACCCGGGTCTCCGCGGTGATAGCGCGGCGCCTTTACCACTGGACCACCAGGGGCTCCTAGAGAGAAAAATAACAGGCTGATAATGAGCCGTGATGTGACACCGGAGAGGAGCCAGGGGGATCGGCTAGAGACAAAGCAACACGCTACTACAGGAATTACCCTGAAAGGCATTTTGCAAGCTCATAGTCGAATGAATCAGCTTCAGGTTGTTTATTTTAAAAAGTAAATTCTCATAGCACTTTTCATGTCCAAACAACTCAGAAGTCTCATGATTTCTGAGGTGGGCTGGAACGTTACATCATTTTGGGTTTGAATAATTTAGGATTGTGAATAGCAAGGAAAGATTTTCTTGTTAAATCTTGAAAACAAGCATCACAATTTAAGCTTTAACTATATTTCTCATGGCTTAATAATTACGTAGCTCATGCTGCATGAATATTCCATCGGTTTATTCACACTCTGAGGAAACATAATTTGTTCATTTGAATCTTTACAGTGAGCTCCTTCTGGGCCACCCTGATCTCAAACCAGAGGTTAAAACAGAAAACCTGTCCCTGCTGTTAACACCAGCTGACTGGGATAAACTGAAAACCGACTACATTGCTTCTGCAAAGGTGAGAGCTTTGACCTAGTGCCCACATGCCCCACCCCGGGAAGGTACAGGAGCCCCAGTCTCCCAGGTAGAGGTCTTGGACAACTGCATTGTGGTTTCTAGCCCCACCAGGTGCTGAGTCCTGCCAGCACCACACAGAATGGCCTTTAATCAAAGGCAAAAAGGTCCTGAACACCAACTCAGAGACCCAAGCAGAGTCAAAGGGACTGTACCAGACCCACACAATGTGACAGAGGCTTAATGAAAGGTTGTAGCTGGGCTTCATCAGATTGAATGCATTGCAATGCCAGGTGTAAAGCCATTTTAGCTGCTACTGTCACTGTGTGGGATCTCCTCCAGCACATCCAAAGTTTGCTACAGGCAGAGAACTTTTGGCATCCCCACCAGAAGACACCAGCATGGTTCATGTCCTCTGAGGAAGCCCCTTCTGCAGTTGTTTTTCTGCAGTCCTTGCTGGCACCCTTGCTGGCACCTTTCTTGCAAACCATTTCTGAAACAGGGCACTGCTCAATGTGAGCTCACAGTGCCCAGCTGAATGAAATCAGTATTGCTCCACCATGCTGGTGAAAGATCAGTGTTTCACCAGCAACAAGGTTGGTTTTCAGCCAGGACTGAACAGTGTTGCTGCTTACTTGAGTGGCTGTGTCGCTGGAGAGGACTGGTTTGATCTTTAATCCTGACCTGGTGCATTCCATGTGCTGGAGGACTTTGTAATCAAGCAAACAGCAGACATACTATTTCCTGCCAGGAGAATGACTCTCCTTTGATATGAAAGTACCTTGCCCACACGCAGCACAGCTCCTGATTTCTCCTGAGATCCTGTTTAGACTGACAGGACTGGAACAACACCTGTGACTCTGCTTGCCTTTCCATGCTGCACACGTGAACCTTACACACATGACGATGGAGCAAAACGCAGTGAGCCTCTGTACTCATGTTTGCTTCCTTATCCTGAGCTGCATGTTTCCTTCCTACGTTTAACATTTAGGAGCAAATCAAAAGTTGTTTTGGAAACATCCTGAGACTAGAGGTCACAGAGAAGTGGGAGAAGGAAGTTCATTCAGAAGTGAAGGAAAACCACTACCACGCCTCGCTCTCCTTTGATATTCAAGCGGTATTTAATTAGCTGGGGTAATGTGGAGGGGAGGGGGCTCTGTGGCTCCAGGGAAACTGGATCGTTACCTTCTGGGGTGGAGGTACCGCCTCCTGCGGTAATTTATGTAAGTCACGCACTGGCAGAATACATTAGAGCAGAAAATGCCATTTATTACAACTTCTGGCTCTCCCGCTTGCCTTCTAGCTGCAAATTAAACCTGCTGTCAATTGTGTCAGCAACATAATAGGCAACTGATTTTAAAGTCCCTAAACCTCTTTGATTAGAAAGAAGAAAGAGAAAGGGAAAAAAAAATGGAAAGAAAAGGTTTGTTAGAAAAAAAAACCCTTGGCTTAAAAAGCAACTTTGTCCCGGGGCTGTGGAAGCTGTGGAAAGGCCGTAGGCAGTAACAGCCACTCCAGTTTAAATAGTACAAAAAACAAAAGCTCCTACTAGCTTTAGGGACTACAGGGTAATAAATCCAGGAGGGGTTTGGATTCATTCTACTCACTCAATTGGTTGAGTCATTTCAATTAAACAATACTAACAAAAAAGAGAGGGAGAGAGAAAGAAAATCAAAGAGTTTTGCCTGCTGACGTGACTATTTTTCCATAAAGGAATATTACACATTATGTGATCTTGGGGAAGGCAGGTCTGAATTGGATTAGCAGATAGATGGGAGGACTCAGGAAGCAGGAGAATGGGACTACAACATGCCTCACTCTGAAGGTGCAGCCAGGATTGTGGGAATGGGAATCCAGGAGGAGTTCCAGTGCAAACAAGGTTTCAGGATGGTGCCTCTGACCCTCTGTGCTGCCCTGGTATTGCTCCTGGGACCTGTGTTGGCCTCTAGGGATGGAGCTTGTCCTTATCATGGTGTTAGCATGGGAACTGCTCAGCTTCCCTTGGGCTTTGGTTGCCAATTGATCCCTCCCACAAAACCCCCAAAAGAGGAGGATGACACTGGGGCAGGCTGGAGTTCCAGCCAACACCTCCTCTAACTCACACTCGGACAGCAAAAGGACATGAGGCTATTAGGGATAAATGATTATATCACAAATCAATTGGTGCTTCTTGGCCCATTTTGCATTATGAGAATAATGAAAATCTCCTGGCAACAAGTTGGCTGTTTTCCCCTTGGCTAGGCGAGCCATCCTTACTAACCAAAGCTGCATGAGATCCTTGGGAAGGATGTTTGACCCATGCTTGTCCCATTCACTGGAGGTTTTTTGTGCCCTTTTTTAGATCATTGGGGAGTACATGAAGTTATCTGGAACTATCAGCAGAAGCCTGGAAACAAAAATGCTTGAGCTGTGCATGACAGAGCTGCTTGAATTCATACCAAGGTCATCACCACTCCTGGCAGTACTTTCTTTTCAATTGAGTCTCACACTGGTAAAAACACAGGGAAAAGGTCTGTGCACTAGACCAGACACTGGCATCAAGCAGGCATAGGCCTGCTCTTGGGAGAATTAAAGATTACAGTGAGCCAAATAACAAGCAAGCTGGAAAACAACCTGGAGGGAGTCATAAACAGTCTCAGATAGGACGCTTGCAAGTCCCAGAATCTAATGCCAGAGCTCCAGGAAGGAGCTGCTGTCTGGAAAGGGGTGGTACCACTGTGACCACATCCATCTAGGACCTTTGTGCATTGGATGGTGGTCACTTGCAGCTTCAGCCGTGAGCAAGCAGCAGTTATGGACCTCTCAGATCCAAAGCCAGTTTGCCCAAAACATCATCTAGGTATCCTGGGGTGAGTCCTGCTGAGAGGGTTTTCTCTGACCTCCCATGTCTCTGGGCATAAAAATGGATGGTGAGACCCTCTCTGCTACACCTGGGCAAAATGTACAGCTGGGCTGCCTTCTGAGTCTCTTTGAAATTTACCCAGGGTCCAAGGGAGACTACTGAAATAGTGGTTTTTTCCTTGGTAGTCTCCATGTTATGACCTCAGATCTTACCTGCTGCAACATGCTTTGGGAATGCTCCACGGGAGGTTTTAGGCTCGCAGAGGGTCCCAGCACGGTGACACGTTCTCCGACCCCTCTGTCAGGGCTGGGTTTGGGACGCTCATGGATGTTTGCCGGAGCAGCGATCTGCGGAGGAGAAGGGCTGTTTGGTGAATCAACTGTGAGCAAGACTAAAAATAATTTTGCATTAACCTTTGAAGTTTCCCACCTCCGGCAGGCACCGAGCGTGGTGTTTGCTAATGCAGGAGCATGGGTGGGGAACCTGAGCGCTGCTTTCTCGCATCGTGAACCTGGGGCATGGCAGGGGTCCAAACTGCGGTAAAGGCAACGCTTTTCCTTCTAAACCCTTATCTCCAGTAGCCCAGTGATCTACACTTGTCTCCCACGCCCTTAGTGAGCAGGGTAGCTCAGACCAGCTGTTTGACTTTGAAATCTGCCTAGGTTTTTGAAGAGAAACACAGCAGTGATGTTCTGGCTTTTTCTTTCCCTCATTTCTTATTTTTCTCTTTTATTTCTTTTTTTTTTTAATTTGTTCTTCTTTTCTTCTTCTTTGTTCTCTTTTTTAGTTATTTTTCTTTTATATTTTCCTTTTATTTTTTTAATTGGGTTTTTTCTTCTTTTTTTTTTAAATGCTGTACAGTGCAAACCAGGGCAGCAACAGCTCTCAGATTAAAGGACCACTGAAACTTAAGCTTTTACTGAAACAAACCTGAGATACAAGGGCCTGAGGCCAGCTTGGGCAGGTTCCTTTACCCTGACAAAGAATGGGACCATCAGACAAAGCCTTTCTGAGCACACAGCCTCCTGCCATCAGCATGGACCTGGCTGTAAAACAGCTGTGAACCCATAAAACCTGTGCTACACACACAAAAAAAAAAGCTACCTGACACTGAGGTTATGGGGAGGAAAAGGTAGATGTGCTGCCCTGTTCCTATTCACCTTCTGTTGTAGAATCAGCCCTCAGGTAAATCATTTGCCTGTGTTGTGCTTAAGAGGGTACATAATATATTGTCCCAAAAGCCAACGAAATGAAGGCCCAGACTTACAAGCCTGAGTACCACAGCTGCAATTAAACCCTCAGCATGAGGAAAAGTCAGAGTTGGCCTGCCCACATCCCTGGCATCTCTCCAGAAGTTCTCCGTATCTGCTCAGGCAAGCACATCCTAAACCTGTAATTATCTGCCATCTATTTTCCTTCAATGCACACACACGTTGTGACAGCTGGAAAAAACATGTCTGCATACAGAGGGGACAGGTTGGGACAGCCAGGGGTGTCTCCTGAAATCACCATGTACACAGAAGATGAGCCATCCTCAGTCCCCCCACCATTAAGTGTTACCTGAGTGTCTCTTCCTACAGGTTTGAGAAGGAGTTCATGGCGTGGAGCACTGCCCAGGACAGCCCCGTCTTTGCAGCCTATGTTGTTGCCTACATCAACAGCTTCCACGAACTAATGTAAGTCCACTCCCTCTGAGCTCAGATGACATGTTTTTGGGGTCTGTGAGGGTAACAGCATCTGCGAAGGAAAGACCAAGGTCTCCTTGGGGTGCCCCGCTGGGTGCTCGGTCTCCAGCCCTTCTAACCTCACAGGGGAATTTTCCACAAGGGTTGCAGGTAGAAGTCACAAGCGTGAATAGACAGAAACACGAACAGATGCAGTGCTTGCATGAAAGTTTTAAACTCATTTTCAGTCTCAGAGGAGGGTTTTGCCATGTTTTATCCTGGAGGTTAGCAGTATAAACCCAGAAACACGGTCTCAAGGCTGCCTTTGGCACCGGGCTGGAGGAAACTCTGTGGAAGCACTCAACCTGAAAATAAACCCCTGCCATTGCTGCTGGCAGCTGAAATTCCAGGGCTTTGCATGAATTACTTCTTTCAAGCCATGTGTTGAAAAGGGTCTCTGATGAACAAGTATCATCAGTGCTGGCTATCAGAGATCCATCACTCTCCCCATAAGTAGTATGGTGCCAGTGAGTGCATGTCCCAGGGTCTGGTGCCTCAGCCCAGTGCTGTGGCACAAGATGACCTTGCACATCCCACTGTGCAGCCACTCACACAGCTGCCACAGCCCCCCAGTGCCAGTTCCACGGAAAATTGGTGCTGTTCATACACCTGCCCCAGGGGGACGGTCTGCAGTCGTGCAGGGACGTGGCCCACCGAGGCCCGGGGGCTCTTCAGCATCGGGAGTCATCTCTTGCATGCAGATGTGGTGGTTCAGAGGCGAACCCAGCAAAACAACACAGGAATAACGTGTGGGCTCTGACCACCAAAAAGCTTGGGTTGTGATCTCCAGCCGGTGTTTGCTGCCTGGCGCTGCCTCCAGCGGGGTTGCTATATGCCGAATATTACTGAGGGGACGGAGGCGATTTCGTGTTCGGTGTCTCGCAGGAGCCGACGGCTCCAGCCGCAGCGAGCACTACCATCGGGAAGTCTCTAGATGGCACGGTCTCTCCAGCAATGCTAACCTCGCCGAGGAGCTGGCTTTCACTGCCTCCTCCTGACCCTGCGGAAAATTGCTCTCCCTTTCCCTGCTGGAGACTGGCGAAGGGGTGAATGGAGACGCCAGCCCCAGGCTGGCAGCGTTTGGGTGGCCGGCTGGCTCCGCTGAATTTATTCCCGAGTCAAGCTAAATATTCATCAGCCTGGGGTGATGAGTTGCTGGGCAGAACTAGATGACCTAACAGCATGATTTTTTGGATGCTGGTCCCAGACTTCAGCTGGAGTTACAGCCCTGAGCTCCAGCCTGGCATGACAGGGATGCTGTTGAGTGCTTTATAGTCCTACCTGGGCAACCTCAGACATATAAAGTATCTACTGGGTAGTGGCAGGAACCTGCTGCTCTCTGTGGTCACAGCAGTGGATGTAGCACATCCAGGGAAGCTTAGGCACCACTGGTGCTGCCTTTTATTTGTGGTGCTGCTTCTTCAGTTGCCCCAGTCCCCACACCTCCAAAGCGTGTTACAGTGGGACAGGGATGGAAAGTAAGAAGAAAGACAGGAGTTCACAATGCCCCCAAAGCCCACACACACACTCAGGATTCCATTAACCTCTCAGAAGGTGTTTTCTTCCTCATGGGATGAAACCTTGCAGAAGTATGCACTGGCCTTAGGAAATTTCACAGGTTTCCATAAACATAGTCACCATCCTAGCTGCTGCTGATAGGCATTGCGTGGAGTGACTCAGATGGGCTCTGGGGGAAACAGGGTCAGCAGCTTTCCCTTCTCTGGCTTTATTATTTACTTTTTTCTTCACCCATGGCCTCTCAGTGCTCTCCCAGGTACTTGGAGACCATTCAGCAGAGGTGTTGCTCAAGTGAAAGAGCAACCAGCCTATGCAACTGCTCCGCATGGCTGCACCATCCCACCTGATAAGGAAATCTGTGGGGTTTTTAAGCACAGTCACAGCTGTGACTCATTTTCAGTGCATAGGATTGTGCAAAAGGAGCCATTACTTTGACCCATAAAGTGTTTCCAAGAGGAAGTACTACAAGCACGAGTTTATTTAAACATAATATCCAACATGCCAATCCAGATAAAATGCTTAGGGCACTGTAATAGTTTACTTTTTAATGTTAACTCACTGGTGTTCTCTCTCTCTCTCTCTCTCTAGGTCAGGGTTAGAAACAGAGTTTCAAGTCAACACTGAGGAACTGCAGAAGATTTTGGCAGCTCTGACAAGAAACTTCACAAATATTTTTCTAACCAAATTAAAAATAAAAGCACAGGTAAGAGGCTCTTGGCCATGTTATTTCCTCGATGTAAGGGGTATGTGCAGGACGACTGCAGAAGCTGAGGGCCATTGTCCTTCCCTTGTCTCACCAACTAGACCCCATTTTGCAGTGCATGACATTATGGTCCCTCCAAAATGCACCAAGCCCAACACTCCTGTAGAAATCCTTCTTAACCCCAATCAGCACTTCCAGCATCCTGTGAGTTTTTTGCTATGAGCAAGGATACCTTTGTCTAGCTGTTTACAACAATCAGTCAAAAAAAAAAAAAAAAAAAAAAAAGGTAATTAGTGACTTCCAATATCTCAGGCAAAGCAGTGGGGAAAAACCTTACCCATAGAGAAACACTGGGGAAGTCAGCTGAACACCACCAATGAAACATTTTTTCTTCTACCAAAGTGTTTGGATTTCTCAGGACTTCGATTTATTCTTACTGAACTGTTGATCTGACATCATGCTCTGTAAGCAACTTCTTCAGACAGGACAGAATTAATTCTGATAGAGGTGATTTTTCCAGGCTGTTCCCATGGTGAAGAAAGGCTGATTTTTCCAGCATGAGGATGCTAAAGCTCTGCTTGTGTTGAGGTCTAAAATGCCGTGCAATGTGCTGCAATGAAATTTTTGCTTCCTTGGTGTTGTAGATGGGACTTTCTGGGGTCCACTAGCTCTGGCTGATATAATGCAAGAGATGGGGGAAATTGAGCCTTTGGTCACATCCCTTTTCACTCAGCCTAATTCACTTTTTAAGTCCCCAAACATAACTTTCATAAACCAAGGCAGTCATGGAACTGATGCAACCTAAGCCAACCCTGCCTGGCCAAGGGGACTTTCCAGTGACTGTAGATCTTGTCTTGGATCCTAAGTGGCAGCAAGGAAGGGAGTCAAGCCAAGGCATTGAGCAAGAGACCCAAAATGTGAGAACTGAGAGAGGCCGAGGCAAAGCATTTCTAAACAGCTCTTGTGGTACTTAGTGCTATGGTCAAGTAACCACAGCAGTGTTGGATCAAGGGTTGGACTTGGTGGTCTCAGAGGTCTTTTCCAACCTGGTTGATTCTATGATTCTATGATTCATCACACTGGGAGAATAGCAGGAGAGCACAAGGAGGGGAAAATAATTGGGAAGGAGATTGCCAGTACTCTAAAGCCAGAGATTCTGAGAGCTAAGAGGAGAAAAGTATAGAGGGGATGTGCCGGAGAAGGGATATTTTGCATTTTGCCCTTAGGGGAGTTTCTTCCAGAAGCCTTTAGCAGATATTGCTGTATTTCTATGTGAAGGCACATTAAGTCTAGGGAACCAGCAAGGACAATAACCAACTGAGGACACTTGGTCAGAGTACTTTGAACCCAGGACTGATGTGAGACAGTGCCATAATTCCCATGTCATCACTGACCATGAGGCATCAAGCTGGAGATGTTCCCAGCTGCTGTTCCCCTCCCACCACATTAGACCAAAGAGCAGAAGGACGATCCCAGTGAGATTTCATGCAGGTCTGCAGGAGTACAGACAGCCTCCTCAAAGGGCTGTGGGCATGAGGAGCTTGATTTCCTTGTGGATAAGGCTGTAGGGGTGATGGATTACTGGGCTAATTTCCAACAGATTCACTACCAAGTGACCTGTCATTTCCATAGCTGTTGCAAACCCACTAACACTAACATACATGGCTGCACACCACAGCCTGTTATAGTCATGCCTGAATTTCCTGTGATTAAAATTCACATCTGTATCTTCCCCTATGTGTAGGGATACAAATTCATTTACCCAAAGAAATAGATCTGGTGGATCAGAAGGTGGTGCAGAGAAAGGAAATGAGGTATCTCAAGTAAACCTTTAATGCCGAAAAATCTCCTGCTCAGGCAGTGATGCTTCTCCTCTCTGCACTGGTGTGCCTACACAGGAAGGGGAGACATGGGTCTGAATTCCATGGGGAGGACAGAGAAACTCACTCTGCTCTGTGCTCTGGGTGTGTCTTCATGCAGAGGGGGTGTGCCATCAGTGCTCTGTGATTTTCATTTCAAGCCATCAGGTGTACAGCTGAGTGCCTTCGGTTACAGCATCAGCTAGTCTGAATGTTACCAGTGCCATCAGTGAGTTGGTCTTTTTTCAGCCATTCCTGAAGAAAATCCTGACAAAGGACTGGATTTTGGATACAGGAAGGCCAGATTCACTGGCATCAGCAGTCTCACAGTTCTCCAAGCACCTGCAGCACATGAGGGAGCCCACAGGGAAGGTAGGCCACTGACCCACACAGTGATGCTGGGGGGGTTCACAATGTCATTTTCAGGCTGTGGTCAGACCTGCAGGCTCCTCTACAGCAGTGGCTGCTGTTTATAACTGTGGGAACTGCAGATGCAAAGGAGTTCAAATATTACCATATTTCCACATGTGAATTAGAGAACAACTTTCCTTCCTGTCGTTCAAATACAGAAACTGATTTTGTTTAAAGAGGAACAAAAAGCTTTGGTGACAATTGCTGCTGAGCACTGCAGTTCCTTGAGTTGCAGGCTTATATGCTCCTTTCACATCTATGCAGTTGTGAAATAAAGGGGTAGGTGACAACTGTTCTATATTTAAAATCTGCAAGCACCATCAAAAGTGACTTTTAAAACAATCCTAAATATTCCCCTTTGATACTGAGAAGTCAAACTACCAACCAAAATTGTGGGCTATTTCAGGGTGAGGAGCATTTCCATGGCATTCCCTTGGGTGCAGCCACTGCTCTGTGTCAGAGCAAGGGACTGTAAGCCACTGACTCCTTTCATCAGGGCTGGCCTGGGCAGCATGTGCTGATGGTGTGTTGCCTTCATGTACCTCCTCTATGCGCTCTGTGTTGCTAAAGACCTAAGAGCTTTCCCTGCCCTCTTTCACTGCCTTGGCCTTGTATGGGAACCACAGAAAAACCATGAAGTTTGTTTTTTTTTTATCCAGGAGCTTCTACGTGAAGTTCACAGATACGTGGTGAAGGAATACATCACACAGGTCATCAAACACAGATGGAGAATGAACAGGGAGACACGGCAAGAAGTGAGCAAAAAGATGGACCTGGAAGCCGCAATCTTTCATAATATGCTCATTGATCAGGTATGTGAGTTCTCTCCTGGCCCATCCCAGAGGTACAGTATTCCCACTTGGCTTCCCAGAGACCAATGTGGCAAGCTTCTGAGGAGGCCAAGCCTCAAGAAGTATAGAAGTCCTTAAAAGAAATCAAGCGAGGTTGTTACTGCGGGTTCATGGTGTGGGCTTCCAGTGGCAGCTTTGCGTGTTTTGTGGCTAGGCCAGCGTTACAACCCATCCCTGAAGGTGAGGTAACTGAGATTCTTGTTAATAGATCCCTGGGGGCAGATTAGAGTGAAACAACACTGAATGACCAGTGTTTATAAATATATATATATGGTAGGTTTATTTTAGAACAATTTGATTGCAATGGAAAGTAGGGATGTAGCCATTTTGGTTATTATCTATAGTAATATAACAATATTAAGGTATAAAAATATCACTTAAGAAAATATGCAAAGGAAAGGAAGAAAGGGAAAGAAAGCATGAGAGTAGATAGTGGGAAGGAAAGATATCACCACCCATGGATCCAGTGACAAGGCTTGATTGTCACAATTTAGATGTCTGTTGGTTGAAATGATGGTAACAGTCTTGATCCTTTGGGGGGTGGAGGAAGCCTGCAATGAGTTTAATGGGTTCAGATGGGAATGCCCCTCCCAGTCGGGGATGGCAGTGGGCAGGAGTTTCACACTGTCTGATATAACACTGTGGATAATATGCAGTCTTCTGTTGGAAGGCCCCAGAAATGAGTCTGGAGATGCTTCGGGGTCTTTGCTGGTTCATGACCCCTTCTAAAACATGACTGCTCTTTCTCACACCTTTATAGTTGATCCAGTTATGCCTTATCAGAAGGGATACCTGTGAATGTCCCAATACCTCCCCATGAAAGGGGAGTTTTACACATGAACCAGCTCTGTAAAGAAGGAAATTGGCATGATAAAAGAAGCTATTCCACCTCGCAGGATCTGCTTCTTGTCGGCTTTTTCCTTATCTGGCTCAAAACCCACCTTGTTGCTAAACAAAGGTTGGTTTGTCAGGGTTACTCTCCAGTGGTGGGTAATCACATGCTCTGCACCTGGGCTGTTCTTACACAGATCAGAGGTTTTGCCGCCACACACCCAAAAGCTGGGTGCAAACCTGGCCTCAGCAAAGCCCCTGCCAGTTTTGAAAATGGCTGATTATTTGAGTCATTAACTTTAACATTTCAGTCTCTCACAGGAACATCAGTCTGTGATTTTCAGGGAAGCCAAAGTTGAATTCATTGCATTTTGCAGAAAGTCAGGCATCCAGGACACCAAATCCCCTCTCAGAGATAAGGCACATGAAACTATTAGGCAGCAGGAGGGAAAGTCTGGCATCTGCTGGTGTGCTGGACCACAGCCACAATGCCCTGAACAGGATCTGACTCCCTGGGATGCTCATGAGCACCAGGAAGAGCAGAGTCCGACCTCAGGGGAACTCCTTGTTGGCAGCTTGCTGCCTGCCCAAGGCAGCCTGCTCTGCCTCAGCAGTCCTGCCTCACACCCAGCTCTGCACTGTAGGGAAAAAGGCATCTAGCAGGTGCTGCTTTCCCCCCTGAAATCCATGTGCCTCTTCATCCACAGGGCTCTGACTCCAACTGGCTCATTCCCGCCATACACCACATTGCCAAGATCATTAGGGAGAAGGAGAAGGACAAGATCAAGGCGTATGTCAAGAAGCTGTGTCAGAATTATCCAGATATCAGGTACCTGAAATGGCAGATGCCAGAAATGTTGGGCTCCATCCCAAACAGCACCAGCTTGCCCTGTGCCTTGGCCAAGCTCTTCATCTTTTCATTGCTGGTGGCCATATGTTAGAGGTCAGGGTGCCAGCAACAGTGGGAATCCCAGCTTAATTTTCTCTCTTTATGAGTGTATACTTTCTCTTTTTTCCCCTTGTCTGCTGGATCTTATAATGCGCACAAATTAACTTCAAAGCCTTTTAATTTTAGAATGGAATGGAATGGAATGGAATAGATCAGACTATTTCAGTCTATTAGGAAGGGACCTACTACGATCATCCAGTCCAGTTGCCTGACCACTTCATGACTGACCAAAAGTTAATGCAAGCTATTAAGGGCATTACCCAAATGCCTCTTAAACACTGACAGGCTTGGGACATAGAACACCTCTCTAGAAGGCCTGTTCCACTGTTGGACACCCCTCCTAGCAAAGAAACGCTTCCTAATGTCAAGTCTAGAGCTCCCCTACCACAGCTTTGAACCATTTCCATGCATCCTATCACTGAATTCTATTTTTTTTGCTCCAAATGAACTTTGTTTCACAGTAAAGCTCCAGTCTGATTTCAGTGCATCACCAGTATCAGCCCAGTTTGCCAATTTGCAGACTCCTGATTTGAAGCAAATATTTTGTTTCCTCTTCCAAGGCTCAGACCTCAAAGTGAGGCAGCCATTGATGGAGATCAGCTGTGGCTTCTGAAATGACCTCAACACAACCATTAAATTTAGGAATAAATTACATATTCTTTCTTTTATACTTTCCGTTTGCTGTTCCAAAGCTGCATCTGAAAAATTTAAAACTACTGCAAAAGTAAACAAAGTGACTAGCTCTCTGCATGGCTAAACAGCTGCTAATCAGAAGTTACCTCCTCTTCTGCAGCTCTTCTACCAACAACTGAGAATGAATATCAGTGGTACAGATTGCAGAAAACTCCATTTCATCAGAGTAACTTCAGAAAAAAAACCCAAAAAGTCTTTGTACTGGGTTACACAGTTTCTGATGGATGACATTTATACAATCAAAATAAACCATACATTTAACTAATTGCTCAGAACACTGAAGTGGACCCTCAAATACTGAGAGAAAAAAAATCACATTAAATCTATTTTCCTTTCCCCATAACTGCAGGTCAAATTTTTTCATAACTAGATTTAACTCAATTCAGTCAGATATGCTTCAGGCTTATCTGTGTGGGGAAATTCAAGACGTGCACATAAAAAAAAATATTGTTCCTGAATAATTTCCAAGGTGAACACACCTATTTTAAAAAAAAAAAGGTTTAATCCCAGTGGCCAGACTAAGCTGATGAAGGAGGCTGTGCCTGTTCTGGGAAGGATAGGGGAGGGAAATTATGCCTAGTCATCAATGATGGCTATTTGAAAACAATTTTCCACTCAGAAAAGCCATTTACAAGGTTGTAATTTGTGGTACTTCTGCATCATTAGGCTCAGACCCAAGCTAGGTTTTAAAGCTTGTCCTCTTGATTTATCTAATTTTTGACTTTCCATTATTGAGTAATACTATTTTTAACAATCAAGTTCGGAAAACGGGGTGGAACCTGCTGGACCTGCATTACTTCCTGTTCAGGTCTCTTAATTCTTCCCCTGAGCTCTCAGAGACGTTAAGGAATTTGTATATACCGAGATTACTGGAACAGGATATGTTTCCAAGCTGGCTTCCCAGCTCTAATCTAATTAGTGCCTGTCAACTTCCTAAATATTAGCACTTCCATTACTCAATTCAAAATAATCATTAAACAAAAGGTCTGCAGCCTCTCAGGAAAACCTGAAACGGGCATCATGTGTGTGTGGAGACAGAGGAGGAAATTCCCTGAAGCACCAGCCAGCAGGAGGTTATCCCACCAGTGCAGTGTGGCAGGAGCTGATGTTCACTGGCTTGGTACCTCCAGAGCCTGGAGACCCAACTCCTCGTGGCTCCTCCGGCGTGGTGAGGGGACGGTCCCTGGCACTTTGCTATGTCCTTGCTCCATCTCCTGCAGGGTTGTTGGTTGCTACCTTTTGGGCTTGTTTTGCCTGCCAGGTCTGAGCAAGGTCGTGTTTGGTTTTTCAGGAAGGACCACATCCTGGCCATCCTCGCTCGCAGGGGGCTGGGGCGTACCAGGAGAGCGGCAATTTTTCGGCAAGTCTGCCACGTGCTGGAAAGCTCCAGTGGAGGAGAGGGCAACACACTCTTCGCTGAAATTGATGTTCCGGTGGTTATAAGCTGCTTCTAAAACAGAACCAGAACACCAGTCAGCATCCTCCCGCCTCCTACGCTGCCTCTACACGTGATCCAGAATCTGCTATCCCATCTTGATCCTCTGTAAACCCAAATTTGTGACTGCCATGGAGAAAGGAGTAGGTTTCTGAACTTGCTACCCTGAGTTCAGAACCCAAAGGGAACAGAGGCACCGAGACACTGAACTTCTGCAAGAGCTCCTGGGAAGCAGCTCCAGCCCAGGAACTGTGTCCACCCATCTGCGTTCCATACAGATTCTATTGCTGGGAGGCTGCTCTGTTGCTTGGTCCAAAATTAAATTTCTTTTCAGAGAAAACCAAAAGCAGTTCACTCAGAGCTATATTAAGGCTTGGACTGTGCTTTGCATAATTATACAGCAGCAGAGCAAGAGCCTCCTTTGTAATTAGTGCCTGTGAGCAATCGAGGGGCAGAGCTTGGGCAGGGATGTGGTAGCACCCAAGTCTTATTTCCTCCACTGTGAACCAGCTGGCCGAGCTGGCATGATGCAAGGCGGTGACGCTGTGACCCGATGCCACAAACCACTACCTGCCTGAGGAGGAAAACTTTGGGTAGTCAAACCCCACAGCTGGGACATGTAGCACATGGACCCCTCTGCACTCCAGGATGGCCCAGGAGGCCTTTCAGGCATTTCATCAGATTTTCCTCACTCAAGGGCTGCCTTCAGGCCATCATAGCCTCTCTGTGTGGACAGGCATGTCTGGATCAGATGTGCCACGTGGAGTGAAGCTCCAACTTCTACTTGACCTGAGGAAAAGGGTCACCGTGCCTCTAGTCCATTGTCTTGCATGTTTAAACATATTTTAACAAATCTGGTATAAGCTGACTGCAGTATGAAACCAAATGTGAGGTGGACAGACATAGTGCTACAGATCTGATCCTCATGTGGTGTAAGGCAGCATCACCCCATTGATGGGCATGGAACACCACTGGTTTAACACCACAAGGGATCCAAAGCATCATGTCCAGCATCTGCAGGGTAGACTTAAAAAAAAAATATCCAGCAGTCTGGAGATGTACAAATCTAATTTTATTTAATTCAATTTATCCTTAGGTTGCCTTCTGCAGGAATTAATCTGAGACTTTGCAGAGGCATGTTTATGATCTATCAATTAATATGATAAATGTGGACATGGCATAGCCTTGAACACTAATTTGTCTGCAGCAGAGCTTACAGCATCAGCAGTGAACCTTTCATTTCCTTTGCTTCAAGTTGCACCAGTATAAATTTCAGCCTGGGTGAGCAGCAGGCGCTGGTGACACAGCAAGGGAGCTGTTCTGATGGATGAGAAATAAAGAGTGCACCTTTTATTCACAACCATCCCATGAGAATTTTTCTAAGATAAACCTGCTGTCTCCACAGTCAAGACGAGGTATTCTTCTAAAGATGGCTGGGAAATATCATCTTGAGGGGGGGAAATACTAGAAGGAATTTTCTGCCCTGCATTTTTCTTCAATACAGCTCATGATGATTCCTGAAAATCCTCGGTTTGGTGACTCTTTGTATTTGCTATGGAGAAGGAGAAGTAAAACATCATCTGCATCTCCCATTGGATGTGCAGAGCTCAGATACACTTTGGAGCTCCCCTTTCCTGTCCTGGGGTCATGGTGCAATCAGGGAACATTGGATTACACCCCTCATGGATCTGTGAGCTACATCCCCCATCCCAGCAGGGGGGAAGGACATCAGTGCTGAGAGATTAACATTGATTGTTAAAAGCATTGACTAAATGGCAGAGATAAAAAAGATTTCTACTTTTAAATACTCAGTCTGAGACTTCTAAAACTGCAACTTCAGTGGAGTGCAGGATCCGAGGCACTGAAGCCTCAGTGACTGTTTTTGTGCATCAGAAATTTCCCTCTGTCCCATATGCATCTCTCATCCAAGCACCTAACACAAGGCATCCATGGCACAGACATTTTCCCAAGTGCATTATTTAAATGTATACTGGATTTTCAATCTTATTACTTGACTGGCAAACCCTTCACAAGGCAGCTGCCTTTCCTCAGGCTCCAGCCGCCTGGCCCTGGGGTTAGATATGGAGCTCGGCTTCCGTTTTCTAATAAAAGCAATTTGCTACCCTGGAGTCACGGAGGAAAGCTGGGCACAGTGGCCTGCCTTTTGTCACAGCCTCTCCTGGGACACTCAGATCCTGCAGCCTGGCATCCTGTAAGCCGGTGACAGGCACAGAGCCGGCTTCCTCCGGGCTGCTGCTCCCCAGCTGCTTGCTCTTGAGCAAGCCATTTTAACCCCATTATGACAAGACTATGGTTCAGTCCCTGTCCTGCCCCAACAGCTGTCCAAGTGAAGGGGGATGCTTGGTCTAGGCTGCAGAGCAGATCCTGGAGCCAGCTAAACAAGGAGAGAGGAAGGACTGCGTGCTTTCCAAAATGAGCTGCTGCTGTCCATCTGTCTTCTGTAAAACATCCAGTGTTCATTACGCCATATCTCACATTCCAAAAAGAAAAAGAGAAGGAAGGCCTCCCAGGGCTTTTAAATGTGAAATATGTTGCTCTTGTAGGAAAGTGCCAAGGAGCTCAATTATTATCACCCTATTAACTCCTCCTCTTGTTGTTTCTCAGCAAAGAAAAACACCATCAAACCCATTCCTAACCCAGCACACAGTTACTTTCCCCTCCAGGGCACACAGCTCACTTTTACCCCCAAGGACCCAAGCTACATCGTGCAGATGCATCCTCTGATAAATAAAGCTGTCTCAAAAGTATCCAACTAAATGGAACAACCAAACTCTCTCCAGATTCAGCTTCTCAGAGGTGAACACTGCATTTTTCTGGCGGGGAGGGGTTGTGGATTTGGCACAGCTGACAGTATTGTGTGGGTGGTGAAAGATATTTTTTTGTGTTTCAGAGGTCTCTGCTGTTTCACAATACTGCTTGTTTCTGGTTTGTGGCGAAAAGCAAGGGAACAGTGCCTGCAGCCAGGGTGCATGAGCTGGCATTTGCCATCTGAGACCAGCCTTTAGGTATCATCATTTCATCAATTTTGCTCTATGAAGTTGTCCTTTCCTGAAAGGAAGATATGGAAAACAGGCTCGCTCAAAGCAAAAAAGGAGGAGTACCAACACATTGCAATGAATGCCCAGGAGGCTGTCCCTGAGCTGAGACTCCTCTAACCAATCAGTGAAAATATTCCTGAAAAAAGTCTTTTGGTGCAGCACCACTGTAATGTTTAGCTCCCTGTCATGGTATCTTTCAGAAATGAGCTCTCAACTGGGTTAAAATATTAAAGATGATCAGTGAGAAGCAGATTGCAATATTCCATCCACTTTATGAGCTGAGCTATGTGACCTGACACCACCCAGCACACACAGCTGGGATGAAAAGAGGTGCCAGAGCATTATTATCTCAGGGATGGCTAAAAAGTAATGTTGTATTAGCTTTGGGCTTAGAGAGTTTGGTGATTATATATCACACTTCTCCAAAATACTGATGTTTAGTGAACATTTGTCTTCTGTATTTTGCATGCTTCTCCAGGAACTCCCCTGGTTGGATTTACTGCCTCAAAGCCAGTCATTTTCATCTTCTTGGTACTGGGCAGATAGAGTGCTCTGCTCAGTATCACGGTCCATTTCCATCCCTTAAGGACTATTTTATGTAATTCTGCTAATGATGACATGACATTAGCACTGGGACTGGTCCACCTCTCCTATAAAACCTGTTGCAAGAGATCAGTCAGGCTGACAGAGCATTGATTTAAACTATTTACTGCCACTGTTACAATAAAAAAACAGTATTGGGAGCAGGTTAAGACTGATGTACATTAATGTGTGGCATAAGTGGATTAAGATAACTTTTACAAAACTACAAGAATTTTCTCTAGTCCCACATAGCCACATAACTATCTACTGCCTGAGCATACTGAACACATCAACTTTGTCTTCCTGCCTTCATGCCTGTTACACAGAGCACTGCAAATAGCCTCTAATACTCTTCCAATGTAGCACTCTGCATTTGTATTTGTAAATTCATACCAAGTCATTCAAATATGTTATCCAGAAAACAAGTAACATGTAAGGCAGAGAAACCTCTGAAAAAAAGGCTGTTGTATTATTTTTGCCATCTTGATACTACTTAAGTGAGAGTCTTGAAATGTCAGTGTAAGGCTTTCTCTGCTAGCTGCACAGAGGTTGTGCCTCTTGTTAAATGAGTCAGGAAAAGTGAATGGCAGATTAAAGATGAGCACCTAAGTCCCAAGATGTCTGTCCAGGCATAGTTTATGTTTCTCCAGGCATGAAATTGTGCTTGACAGCATGAGTAGCCTGAGCTCCATAATGAGCCATGGCTTCATTAGGAGATGGAAGATTATGCCTTGGTTCCCAGGACTGTGGGGAGATTGGCATCAGGCAAGACAGAACTCTTTTTTTGTGAGAAGTGCAGAAAAAGCAAAGCAAGCCAGAAGGCAGAAAGGGGTGGTTACACAGCTTGCCAAGTCATCCCCCGGCTGCACTCAGTCCCTGCGAAGGGGATGGTGAATGACAGCTGGGAGAAAGATGTGGAGAATCAGAAGAAGGCCCAGAAAACAGGAATTATTTCACAAACTGCATCCCCAGAGAATGAGAGCTTTGCTTAAATTGGCCAGTGCAGAGCAGTGGCCTTCAACGTTTTGCTGCCTGTGGACTAAGGTATTATTTCCAGGGAAGGCATAGAGCACAGTCGTGATAATTGTCTTCCAGTTGGTTAAAAAATTGCTGCAAAAGGGAAGGGATATTCTCCTCACCATTTTCTGTGGGGGTCAGGAATATAGAAACAAGCTTCCACTGCATAAGTAGAGGCAAGTTAGATGCAGCAAAACCACCACTAGTGCTGATGGGGCTGCAGCGCTGAGCACAGCGTGTCATCCCTACCATCGGTGGCTTTTACAGAATCACAGAACTGCAGAATGTTTGGGGTTGGAAGAGATGCCAAAGATCAGGTAGGTCCAGCCTACCTGCCAAGAACAGGGACCCCTTCCACTAGACCAGGTTGCTCAGATCCAACAGCGCTTCCTGGTGAAGCTGGTCATGGGTAATCCCAGAACTGAAATTAAGGAAAAGCAAAGTAATTATAAAAGTCCATTATCCCGAGCAAGGCACAAAATGCTGGGGATCGTTTCCTGTCAGTGAGGCAGCTCACAACTTTACAATACATTTTCCAAAACTCAGGGAAAACGTATTTCCTGAGAGAACTGTGCTATGAACAGAAGCTCATTGAGTAGATAAGAGGCAATCACGGAATTAGTCATCAGGGGTTCATTAGAAGGAACAAGGCCAAAAATCTGGTGGCTTTTGTCTCCAAAAGCACGTCATGCACTCATGGACCGTCATCTTCCCCTCACAGCCCGAGCTACAGATCAAGAATGCATTACTCATGCTGTCGTCTTGAGAGCCCTTTAAACAAACGGGTCTTGAGCCTTCAAGGCACCAGCAAAAGCACATGGTACCTCTTTCCCCCAGTGATCTCAAGGCTGAATCCACCCTGTGCCTCTTCTAGCCAAGCAGCCATTAGTCACCCTCTGAAACAAAGACCGTTCCCCAGGATGACACGTGTGCTGTCTTCGAGAAGACATGGGGAAAGAAATAACAGCCCAAAGGCCCAGGCTGGATTTGCACGTGGTAAAAAGCTCTCCCAGCAAGCTCAGGAGGAGCTGTTATTTCTGTTATTTGGAAGCACCATTGCCTGAGGCTGCCAGAGCATGGATGATACACCATGTTGGCTCAGGAGACCTTCTGGATGCGACTGTGTCCTTGTGGCACGGGGAGAGGGGCAAAGGGGAGACAGTGGGGTGCAGGGAGGGGAAGCACTGAGAAACAGTTTGTGCTGCTCATTCCACACATCTCCTGCCCCTGCCTTAGCCTGCAGCCCAGCCCTACACCTGCTTCTGCCACCAGGAGATGGCAGCTCCAGGAAAAGAGGCATCTACGCATCCCTGGTCCTACATCCCCAATGTCTCAAGAGCTGATGTGCAGCCTTGTGATATCCCATGTGAAATGCCTCTCTTCAACTCTGTTTTATCTGAAAACACAGCTCTTTTTTCCCCTTTTTTTGTTAACTATATGACTTTATTCAGTACCAAACAGCACAAAGTCAAATTCAGCCTTGGCTCAAGAAAAAAAATAATCCATGGGATTCTACCTGATTATTCTGTGCAAGGAAAAAAGCCACCCTTGAGAGGATCCTGAATTTGCAGCACTGGTCAGAATCTCAGAGGGGCTGTGGTACCTTCCCAGGCTGGGTGTGCCCTTGGCACAGCAGCACTTGGTGTTGCAGTGAAGGCTGTGGTACAACATGGCAAGAGAGGCTCTGCCAGGAGCCTCCATGGGGGAGTCCCACATGTGGTATTTCAGGACTGCCTGTGGGGAGGGGGCTGAACCTGAACACAACATTTCCTCTGGTTTTGGCTCCAACACTTGGGTCTGGGATTTCTTACTTCCCTCAAAATACCTTTTGCAAGTGATTAAATACTGAAACAGCTCAAGGTTATGTCTTCTGAATGAATCAAAAAAAAAAAAAAAAAGGATTTATTTGATTTGCAACAGGGCAGGAATACTTGAATGGATGCCTACTTTTGTTTTATTAAACATCCAAAGCAGGAAAAAATTTTGAGTTAACCAAACTGCCTACAGACAGGCAGCAAAACTCACAGCAATATTGTTCTATTTCCCAGAGTTATTCACAATCTGTTGCAAACAACAACTGCTATGTCTCCACAATCATTTAACCTTCGGCCTTAGTGTGTGGATTTAAATGCCATTGTTTTAGTCACAAGAAGAAAAATTAATTGCATTGTTGCTGTTACAGCTGTATTTCTGGGAAAATGCTTGCATGGGGTGTACCAAACAGAATCCTCAAGTGAATATTATTTTCCACAGTTAAAAAAACCCTCCAAAACTTTAATACTATATGTAACTGCCCTTTCAACCTCTTATGAGTGAAGCAGCTTCTTTCTAATGCAGGTGGATAGAAGCCTGAAGGAGTTAAAAGTGCAAACACGAGGCTTACCTTTACATCCAATTACACTGGCATTGCAATATAAGGTTTAATATTGTCCACTTATATTTACTTACTTTAGAGATTTTCCTCTATTCCATAAAGGAGATGTTAGGAATAATTATGACAACTCCAACCATTTAGGAGGTGGTTTAGGAAGGATCCAAGTCTGGCTGCTGTGCTACTGGAAAAACTCCTAGGAGAGCAAATATGTACAAAGCACCTCAACCAACCCCAAGGGCATGCTCTGCCAGGGAGCAGTGTGACATGTGATTCCAGCTCTGGCCTCTGGAAAGGAATGTGGAGAAGTTTGCTTACCATGCCTCAGTTTCCCCTGCAGAAAAGCCTTATTTGGAAGCTGTTTTGTGCTTTCTAGATAAAGGAGAAAATCTGAATTAAAATCTACATGGCTTTTAAATCCCCCTAGGCAAAGAAATAGGATATTGTTCTGAAGAGCCAGCAGGATTGCTCAGATATTTGTTGAGAAAAGGGGAATATTTTATTGCCAGATCAGTGGAAATTTCAGTGCTTGGGAGATCTGTAAATCTCATTCAGAAATATGCCACTCTTGACAAAGAAATGAAGGGCCTTTCTCTACAGCCAGTAAATTTGGCAGCAACAACTCTGTTGATTTCAAATGCCCAATGAGCTCCTTATTGAGTCAGAGGTTTTGAAACACAGGCTATTGAGTCCTCATGGATTTTCCCTGGAAACTTCCCTCTGTGCCACTCACTAAGCCCAAATTTGCTTGGACACAAGAGGGTCATGCAGCAGGAGAGAGGCCAGGAACAGCTGGGGCAAACCTGAGGACCCACAAGGAAGTTCAAAACAGAAGAACTTCTTGGTGTCTAGCCTTCAAGACCTCCAACAGAAGTACTGCTTTCACAGTTTCCCAGGTGCTTTCCCCCAGTACTTTCTACCATCCAGTGATGCTGAATTCATGGGCAGCCTTTCCTGCTGAGTAAAAAGAGATACTCCAAGGCAGGTAGTCCTGGGGCAGGGCAGGTGTCTGGGCTGGGGTAAAACAACTGCATTGAAAAGGCACCCTGAGTAGTTTCACCAGGTCTAAACACGACGCCAGTACCATCGCGAGGGCCGGTTGGGATTTGTTCCCATCCAGTGACCTTTCCAGTGTTTCATTCCCTGATCTAAAATTAGGCCTCTCATCCCCTGTAAACAAGTCATGTGCCAGCAGGGCACAGCCATGTGCCTGGAGAGCACTAGTGAGGAGAGGCAGGTCCCAGCCCCAGCTTTTAAACATGGATGGGCACATTCCTCTCACACCACGGCCAGCAAGTGTGTGAGCAGCTCTGCTGACACGGCTTACGCAGCTCTGCCTGCCACAGGGCGGTTTGGGCAGTCCCAGGGTTCAGCTGAGCAGGTCAGGCTCCAGAGTTCAGAGCAGGTCTGTCAGGACACCCAGCCCCGTGCTGCACAGCACAGCTGTGCTCTCACATCTGGAAGCACCGAGCCACACTGCAGAGAACACGGATGTCCGATGCTGCCCCGGGTGTGCCTCCTTGCACCATTTCTTGTAGCTTCACTGGTGAGGCAGTTCCCTTTTGCCTTCCCTCAGCCCCTGGCTGTGCTGACCTCTGAAGGCACTCAAGTCAGAAGTGGCCCCATCTTAGTAACCCCTATTTAATGCAGGAGCACTGCAAGAAAAGCAGCATGCATCCTGTAGGAACACACACATGCACTTCTCTAGCTGCAGAGACCTTGTCCTTGTGTGTTCATGCTGAACCCCGAAGGCATTAGGAAGCTGTAATCAGAGAAGCAGTGTTAAATAAAGAAGCAAGAGTAAGCTGGGAAAAAGAAAGAACTACTGGGTAACAAGTGCTGGAGTATCTTAAAAACAGGGTGCTAAATGCAACGGTGCTTTTCTGTCAGAGGATCCCTGAGGCTTCTCCGAAGCAGCACTGCTTTCCAGAACATCTGTGCTACAGGCAGATGTGAATCCCCCACAATTTTCCCAGCCCAGCGCTCTTCCAGGTCTGATCTGAATGCCTTGTTTAGCCCCACCCCAGACCTGAGCCTTGTGCTGTGACCCTACAACATGCCCTTCATTTCCCAGTGGGAGTGGGAAAGCAGGGAAGTGTGAATTCCCACTCCACTGGAGTGAGTTGGACTCTGAGATGACTGGATTTCCACACTAGGAAAAACCACTTCTGGTTTCCTTCAGATGAGAAGGGAAAAGCTACACCCTTCCTTCAGCACCTGTTGTTCCTCCCCAGGTCACCGCATGGCAGATATTGAGGGTGCCCATCAGACTATAAGTAGCTCCAAGCACAGGAACAATATCCCT